AATGCTGTTGTCTTCTATCAGTTAAAATATCTTTCTCTCAAAGTCTCCAGCAGCTATACCAACCTCGAACAGAACACTGGCCAGCACCGAGAAATTGGACAATGAACCAGCCAGTTGTTCTGAACCAAAATACCAGCATAGTTGTTTGAATTTTAACAATAAAAAGTTATCATGTTGTTTGAGTTAAAGCAATTGTGTCCAACCTTCTTATAACATTGGTATATTTGGATTAGATTCTTCTCAAACCATTTCCTTCCGAATCTCCTGTCATATGTGGGATGTATGGTTTATGGTTTACTTATTGGAAATCAGTCTACCCGAATAATAGACCGCTTATTGTTATTGTAAGAAGAAGAGAAACACTGGACGTGAACATGTTTCATAAACTAATAAAAATAATTGCGTAAATATAGATAGAAATAACACTAATAATTAAATATTTGGAAGCACAATGTTGATTTCAGCTAGTTTATATTAAAGGATTTAATTTCTGACTTCATCTAAATTAGAATAAAGGATTAGATTAAAAAGTGGATTATAATTATTGTTGAATCTGCAATTTGACATAAGATGCAGAAGAATATTCTAACAGCTGTCGTTGGTTTTATTTTAATGCAAAGCTTCACAGAGGGCTTTCTGAATCCTGTCCATCGTGGATATCTGAAACCTGAACTTTAGCATTGTAAGTCAGTCAAAATATCGCTGACTCTTCGAGTGACACTTGTCAATAGATCAGAAGTAAGTGTAAACAATCTCGTTCTTGTTCTCTTTGTTGATGAAGTAAAATACACAATTAATGAAAGAGTATTTTTATAAAACAGTACAGATGGATACACACTAGAGAATATCATAGATTCACCAAGTTACAGGAATGGATCAGTCAGTTACAGATATGATACCCATAAAACGTAAAGTTACAGTAATGAATCAGTCACTTACAGATATGATACCCATAAAACGTAAAGTTGCAGGAACGGATCAGCCAATTAGAGATATGATACCAATAAAACGCCAAGTTACAGGAATCGATCAGTCAGTTACAGATATGATACCCATAAAACGTAAAGTTACAGGAACGGATCAGCCAATTACAGATATGATACCCATAAAACGCCAAGTTACAGGAATCGATCAGTCAGTTACAGATATGATACCCATAAAACGTAAAGTTACAGGAACGGATCAGCCAATTACAGATATGATACCCATAAAACGCCAAGTTACAGGAATGGATTAGCCATTTACAGATATGATACTCATAAAACGCCAAGTTACAGAAATGATTCAGTCACTTACAGATATGATACCCATAAAACGTAAAGTTACAGGAACGGATCAGCCAATTACAGATATGATACCCATAAAACGCCAAGTTACAGAAATG